AAGAAGGACTAGAGCAGGGGTAGGCAACCTTGGCTCTTTTATGACTCGTGGACTTCAACTCCCAGAATTCCTGAGCCAGCATGGCTCAGCTTGGAAACCTCTCCCTTTGCCCTCAGCATGGCTGGCTCAGGAATTCTGGGAGTTGAAGTCCACGAGTCATAAAAGAGCCAAGGTTGCCTACCCCTGGACTAGAGGAATGCTCTGATGGATAGGTGAATTCAGAGGCATAGAGTAGCAAATTTAAGGTGACCATTCAATCTTTCTAGCTTATAAATAAATGAAGTATTGCAACAATGCTAAGCTTTCAGTAAAAGTTGAAAGATAAAGATAACCATAAAAAAGTTAGTTTATAACAAACTTTCAGAGTCTTACTGAGGACATAAGGAATGCAAAACGGGGGTCAACCTATTCTCCAAAGCACCTGAAGGCGAGACAAGAAGCAATGGGTGGGAACTAATCAAGGAGAGAAGCAACCTACAATTAAGGAGAAATTTCCCAACAATGAGAACAATTAACCAGTGGAATGACTGGCCTCCAGAAGTTGTGTCTTCTTCATTTATGGAGGTTTTTAAGAAGAGATTGGACAGCCATTTGTCTGAAATGGCATAGGATCTCCAGCTCAAGGAGGGAGTTAGACTAGAAGTTCTCCAAGGTGCCTTCCAACTCTGTTGTTCTGTTAGTCTGTTAAATTAGTAGTAAATGTTACTCTTTGGTGGTACTTTGAGAAGGATACACTTGACCCCAGAACATATGAAAAATGGTGTGTGTGTGTGTGTTTGTGTTAGTAGTGCTTCTTTCTCTGCGATATCTCATTTCTGAATCTAGAACAACTGATAATTATCAGTTAATTGTCATTTCCGTAATGACCTGTTCATCCTAACTGAAATAGAATCAGCACTGGCATCTTCAGTGAAAAGTAAGTAATAACACCTGTAACAAAGAAGTTTGCCCTGGCACTGCTATCCCTCCAAAAGTTCCAGACTGTGATATTTCATCAGGGAGGTCAAGGACCCACAACTGCTTATGGGGTTTCCCAGCCACATCTCTTTTGGGTTAAGATTGATCTTCTGTAGCCCAGACATCAGATGTCAGTCAAAGACAAAGGCCTGTTGTGCTTGTGGTGTGGTGGAAGAAGACAAACAGGCAAATAAGTCCTTTTTTTTAAAGGAGCCATGGTGGTGCAGTGGTTAGAATGGAGTATTGCAGGCTAACTCTGCCAACAGCCAGGAGTTCGATCCTGACTAGGCTCAAGTTTGACTCAGGCTTCCATCCTTCCAAGATTGGTAAAATGAGGACCCAGATTGTTGGGGGCAATAGGCTGACTCCTTAAACTGCTTAGAGAGGACTATAGAGCAATATGGGGCAATATATAAATCTAAGTGTTATTGCAATTGCTATTTTTTTGTTACTCTCCTCAGAGCGTGACTCCAATGGGAAATGATGGAGGGCATTGGAAATGCTGTTTTGAGCATAGAAGTGGGATATTGGAAATGTTTACTGTCCGTTTACTTAACTATTATAAAAGCAAATAACGAAACAAAGACAAATATATTACCAGCAATCCAAGAACTTCAACTTCAGGAATGTGTTTCTCTGCTTGTCTAATGACATTCTTTTTAAGTTCAAAATACTGTTAATCCATTTCCCTCTTTCTTTGATATTTAACGTAGGTTATAATGAACTTAAAAAAGCCCTTAGCGCAAGCTTGTTCAAAAAACCGAGTCGATTAGTGCTTTAAAAAAGTCAGAGCCTGTGGTAGCCTCTGTGCTTGTTGGAACAATTATGAAAGACTGAGAATTAAGCCAATTAATTAGAAGAGCTTGAGGACAAGAGGGGTGATTCAGAGATTAGGTAAAGTTTTTGAAATGATCTCCCACGAGGCCACTTCCACTCTGCATCTCAGAGATGGTCTTAAGTGAATAGGACATAGGTCAATTTAGCGTGCATATGATATCCATGTACTTAGCTGAAAACCCTGCATTTCATGTGAAGCTGCCCCCAAACCCATTGTTTCTATGATGTTGCTAAGATCAATAAACTTTGAAGGAGGAGTAAATCAATGGAGTAGCATCAAGAGGTTTGGTCCATTCTTTTTGAAGGGATCTTTCCTCCACAAATTAGGGGTGTTGGTGGTGGGGAGAATCCAGGAAGCACAGAATACAGAATAATAGAGTTGGGAAGGGACCTTGAAGGTCTTCTAGTCCAACCCCTGGCTTGAGCAGAAGGCGCTATGCCCTTTCAGATAAATGATTTTCCAGTCTCTTTGTGAAAGTCTTCAGTGATGGAGCACTCACAACCCCTGAAGGCAAGTTGTTCCATCGGTTGATTGCTTTCACCGTTAGAAAATTTCTCCTTAGTTCTAGGTTGCTCCTGTTCTTGGTTAGTTTCCGTCCATTCTTTTTCATCTTGCCTTTTGGTGCTTTGTCTTTGTAGGAGCCCCTTAAATATGGGAACACTGCTATCATGTCACCCCTAGTCCTTCTTTTCATTCGACCAGATATACCAAATTCCTGCAACCGTTCTTTATATGTTTTAGCCTCCGGCTCTCTAATCATCCTTGTTACTCTTCTTTGCACTCTTTCCAAAGTCTCAACATCTTTGTATATTGTGGTGACCAGAACTGGATGCAGTATTCCAAGTGTAGTCTTACCAAGGCTTTGTAAAGCGGCACTAGAACTTCCTGTGATCTTGATTCTATCCTCCTATTAGTACAGCTTAGAATTGCATTGGCTTTTTTTGGCTGCTGCCAATACTCTTAACATTTGGGATAAGAGATAAAAACCTAGCTTAAGATAGGAGTTTGTCAGAGCTGATCTGGGTATCTTCCCATCCCTTGTTTCACCTTCCTGTAGTAGAGACTTCAAGTGGAAAACTGCTGGCCTATTCTGGAATCATTCTAGAACTATTTATGGTTTGGAGTTATATTCTTCTCTTATGGACAATGCAGTTGAGATAGTCCCTTAGGATATTCTAGATCCACAGCTTTTTGAATAAGGGTCTCTGGAGACAGTAAGCAATCAATGCCAGAATTGTCCTGCTTTCCCCCCCTACATCTACTCACGTTTATGAAACAAAACTTCCTCTCTGAATGTCTTTCAGTGAACCGATTACTGTTTTCTTTCTTTGAATCTGTAAAGGACTGCCCATATGAACGTTTTTTGTGTTGAATGTTGTCCCATGTAGAGCAGAGGTCCCCAACCTTTTGGGCACCAGGGACCAGTTCTGAGGAGAGAGGTTATTCTGTGGACTGGAGGGTGCGTGGTTTTGTGTGTTGCCCACATCCTGTGGATGGGGCTTTGCTTGTTTGTGCTGACCAGTTGCTGGCATGCCGTGGCCTGGTACTGGTCCATAGACCGGGGGTTGGGGATCCCTGTTGTAGAGGATATGTCATTCATTGAAACATGCCAATGGGCTAGGGGTGCCTGCCATGGTACAAATGCCCACACCCAGGATTTCAGCAGCTGCAGAAGGAATAGTTAGTTGTCCTACTGCATCAGAAACAATGTTTTATGCAGGGCCTCTTAAGATCCTGAGTAGATGCTGGAACTAAATTAATCTCAACTGTCCTCAGTGTTCCTATTGGTAGAAGAAGAATTGCAGGGAGAGAGGAAGAGAGAGAGTAAGAGCTGTGGTGGTGCAGTGGTTAGAATGCAGTACTGCAGGCTACTTCTGCTGACTGCCAGCTGCCAGCAGTTCGACAGTTCAAGTCTCACTGGCTCAAGATTGACTCATCCTTCCATCCTTCCAAGGTCGGTAAAATGAGGACCCAGATTTTGGTGGGCAATAGGCTGACTCTGTAAACTGCTTAGAGAGGGCTGTAAAACACTGTGAAGCGGTAAATATATCTGTGCTATTGCTATTGCTAAAATAAATAAATAAAATTAATAACTCTCGGTGAAGGGACCGGAAATTGAGATGCACTGACCAGCAAGCGAAGGTGACCTCACCTGGGCAGCTTGCCTGCATGCATGGCGTCCTGGCATCAGACATACATTTCATTACTTTTCTTCCTTTGGCTTTCAGCCAACTGAACCATGCCATTTTCTGTTCTTGTCTTAAGGCAATGAGTCACTTAAAAATGACCCCTTATTTAAACAGAGTAAGCCATGCAAATGAATGGGAGCAAGCAATAAGTTAACTGGTCTGCGTTTTATTTCTCATTCAAATCTGCCTTTCACGTGGGGCAAAGTTCTCAGTGAAAGCTTTGAGGCACGTTTAACACACATTTGATGATCTTCAGAGTCACTTCTGAATGCCTTCATCAAAGTGACATCAGGGAGAAGGGAGCTGCAGATAAACATTTGCCATAAACATTGTTTTTATATTTTTGCTCTCCCAATCCTTCTTTTGCCCAAAGGCTGTTTCCAGATTGTTCAGAGACCAAATGTCCCTGAATGGCACCTTTCATCTCTTTTGACTGAAGACCCACTGGACATCAAGAACATATATTCATTGCCAAATAAGATATTTCTGAAAAGGGGTTCATTTGGGGAAGTTAGGAAGAACTGGCTTAGAATGAAAATACAGCTTTTCATCAAATGTGTACCCCTGTTAGAAATTTTGTAAGATCTTGCTATGCTTTGTAGCCCACGCCTTTGAAAATTTCCCTTGGGATCAGTATTTGAATTTGTAGTTGTGTACCTCTTTGTTTGATTGTTTGTACATGATTTGTTTGGATTTTCCCTCTGTTTGGCTTCTATGTATGAGGTAACTACGTGTGTGTTTGTGAGTGAGTGTTAGAGAGAGAGACACACAGGGAGAGAGACAGAGAGAGACAGAGACAGAGAGAGAGAGAGAGACAGAGACAGAGAGAGAGAGAGAGACAGAGAGACAGACAGAGAGAGAAAGAGAGAGAGAGAGAGAGAGAGAGAGAGA